ACAGACCAACAATATCAGTTAAAGTTAAAATACTTCATGGACTTTAATTGCTTTCATAGTCAACTTACTTGGCAAAGAATTATTGCATTGCAAGCACAAAAATTTGCACTGTGCTGTAAGATAAACAGTAGAAGCCGCAAATGTTAAATCTTTTGAATATGAATCACTTCACCGATGTATTCCTAAGTGGCAGGTTGCTTGTAATCATTAGATTAGAGTTCAGACTGAACTCATTATTTTGGGCTAAAACTACGGCGAGAAATCAAATGTCATAATAATGTGAAGCTGCAATATCCTGCAAAGCCCTTCACCCTTGACTATGTCTTTAAAACTTCAATCACTAGCACCTCCAACCGAGAAGACTTTACCATGAAGTTCCCAAGTTTCACACATTTTTTTTGTTTTACAGAAATTTGATGTTTCTCAATATTAACACAAAGTTGAAAGGCTTCGGAATGTAAGAAAGTCAGCTACCATGTGGCCAAATAAGTTAGTCATCAAAAGCAAGGAAACAAAAAGGAAAATCACTGGTTGCACAATGTATTTGAACCTCAAAACATTTGATCCTCTTTGATATACAGCCTACAGACAAAAATGATATACCTGAACACACAGAAATAATATTCTTCTGTTCCCTTCAAAGTGAGTATTCCCTAGTTTAGCAGAAACTAGAAACTTCTGTAGGCATTTTGCATGAATTTCAAACAGTCTGTGATGCTGGTTTGGTGATAGTTTTCATCTATAATTCCTGTGTTTCTTCCAGAGATTTCCCCATTTAAAACCCTCCCACAAGCTGGCTTTCAAATCTGGTCTTTGTCTATGTCAATCCTTGGTGGGTTTGATAGTGTTTTTAGAAGAACTTTTAGTGGTGAAGCTATAAACAAATTCTTTTTTTGGAGTCATAGTTCAGATGAATTTCTATCAACCTGAGGCTTCAAAAGCACAAAACACACATGTGTTCTATATTTTGTCAGCACATATAAACACATCTCTTTTAAAAATTGCCTTAAAAATCAAGCCAGTTCACTTTCTCCACAATATTAATGTGCCCATTATGAATTATAACCATGAGTGGCATTTCAGATGAGCACTGAGGATACAGGTCGTCAAACAAATCAGTGGGAAAACCAAAGAAGACAAAAGTCCTCTGTAACTGTAAAAAGCAACAATTTTAGGCATAATTTATTGGAGTATCTTACCTTTGTAGGTTTTCAAAAGGAATTAAATGTTGACTTATGCAAATATGACAATTTAATGGTATGACGCTATATGGAAAAAACCTGAAATGTTAATGATTTAGATCTTTGACTTGCAGGCATAAATCTTCCACAGTTTCACGGCAAGTAGGTCAGGAACTGAATTTGGCCTTGATATTTATGATTAGCACTTCCCCTTTAAATAGAGATTTGTATGCAAAAAGGGCATATTTCATCCTGCAAGCCAATTAGGTCGTTAAATATACAAGTAAGGCAGCAATGCTTGTCACTGTGTCCTGGGCAGCGCTATCAGTTATATTTTGCACCCACTGTGGTTGATTTTTTTAAATCGAACACAAACAAATGTTTATTTATTTATTAATTTTAGGTGTGGCTTTCTTAAGATAAATATCCTCTTTTTTTACATTAAAATCTTAAGGGTTGTTTCTGGGTTTCCCTTTTTGTTTTAATCAATGACCTCTTTTGCAATTTTTAAAAACATATCGGTAAATCTGTATTAAGGTAACACTAGGAATGATGTCTTTCTCAGATTAAACATTTTCAACTTTATTTGACTGATTCTAGATTGATTTGCAGATTTTTTGCAGTCCCTGCATACATCATTATTTTTTATTTAAGTGAGAAGTACCTGCTGCTGTGAATAAAGGGTTTCCTTGTGATGAGACAGCACTTCTAGCTCCAGCAGAGAGGCTTGAGCTCATAGTGACTGGTAGCGCATATAAAGGCACATATAAAGGCACTGCAGTCATGCTGAGAGCATGTGTATGCTGGAATCGATGTGGATGACACACAATCTTTGCTTGAAACCATGTCTGTCTTTGAGGAATAGGGGTCAACATTTGCAAATCCCACTGCACAAAAAAGGAATAAACTACCACTGTTTTTCTAGCAGCTATTGCTTTTCATTAATAATTCTTACAGGGTAGGTGACACTAGTATGCTGGTACTCAGAAAAAAGGGGTAACGTCTTTTGGGACACATTAGTACCATCCACCTCTTGAACAAATCTCTACTTCTGGGCCTCTAAGATATTAAAATTAGGGCCAAATAGATATTTAATGAGTGAACTGAATGTTCACTCATGAATGAAACCAAAACAAATATTGGTATGAAAAAGTCAAAATCATTATACTGCTAACAGCCAGATTTACTAAGTTGCCCCAATTACAATAATGTGCAAACGGTAATGGCAAGTTCTGCGCGTATCTCCTAACAATGTGTTGATTTCTAAACAATAGTGACCAGCAAGTTATTTCTGCCTAAGGACACCTTGTGGGTATCAATGTGACACGTGTCTAACAGAATTGCAGCATTTGACGCACTGAGAGGAGAACAGGTTGGGGCATTGTCACATTAATTTGATTATGCAATTCCTGCCAGAGCACAGGGATGCCAAAGAAGTCCAATGTTGTTTGAGCTTGTAAGCCATACAGTCAGAACATGTTATTTAAAGCAATCACTTAATGGGGGACAATGAATGCAACATTTCCCCCAGTTACTAACCCTTTCCATGAGACTATACTTATATCACTGGACGTCTCTATTGCTAAAAGTGAACACCAAAATTCAGAACAATCTTGTGCCCTCGAATACGAATTCCCAGGCAGAAAGCTAAAGAAGGTCGGACTTATACATTGAACCCCTTCAAGAAACGTTATCTTAAAATCCGCAGCTGCACTACGCCTTTTTACTGTGGAACTGGTGCTTATTTTAAATAATTAGAAAATTAGAAAAAAACTAAACAGGCCTTTGTCTCCTTAAAAAGCCTTTTGGAAATACTTCAACATCAAGAAATGACGGTCTAACCAAAAACAAACACAAAGGTCATACTAAGAAAGTTAGAAGGAGAACAAAAGCCTCAAGGCATTCATTTTTAGCAGTGATTATGCAACTGGTGACAAACACTGTTGGGCTGGTAAAAAAAAGACCCAATAAAGACAGAGAACCTACTCTGTCTTATAATTTAATACTTACAGTATGTGGCCCACACACACATTATTGTTATGATCTGATTTTATCTTCCGTTGTTTTATGGATCCAAAGTCTCATTTTTATGTTAAACCCACTACATATGATGAGGCTGTAGCTCTAAGGGGAACTGGCAGGTTCACAACTGTAACTACAAACCTCCCCTTCTCTATCACAGTCAGGACAAATCACACAGCACTTTTCGTTTCACATAAAAGTTGAGGTCTTAAATCACTGTTGTATAAGGTAAGCATATCGCAGCTAATAACAACAGTCAAAACTTCACATAGCACATAATTCTAAAAGAGAGAGCTACGTTTCAGGTGTATTTCCTCACATCCTTGCTCCTGCATGGCCAATCAGTGTTTATGCAATAAGAGAAAGATAACATCCAATAACTATATCTCTGCTCGCCATGGTCAGTCTACATTATTCCATCACTTAGCTCTGATTAGTCGTAGGTCTATCCAAGGCACTTTACTCTGCATTCATTGGTAATGGCCGAAACTAAAACCTGATCTAAGAGGTTCAGACGCTCATCCATCTGCCATTGCCAAGCTATAAGGACTTTAAGCAGCGAAGAAAGGAAGAAAAAAGAAAGATCAATCCTAAACATCTGGCAGTCATTATGAGGAAGACTAAAGTCAAACTGAAGGACATTAATTGTGTTGAAATGCTCAGGTTTCAATTCTTTATTTTACAGATGCTTTGTGGGATGCAGTCTGTTAGCATCAGACAGTCACAAATAAAACAGAACTGAACGGCCTGTATTTACATATATCTTGTTATAAGGAAACACATCCCTCCTCTAATCCCTCGTTGCTCATGAGAAATAACATTTTGGCAAAAAAAGCCCAGAAAGTGTGACCATACACTGAAGCTGTTCCAGAAATGGTTGAAAGAACAAACACTGCATTTCTGGCTGATTTCCAGGAGCATACACTCAGCTCACTTTTTAACTACTTGAAGCTTAGAAGAAGGTACGCGACATCTACGCGCACACTTTGAGCAGAAATTGTCGCCTCTCATAATTACACATGTGAAAACATTGTTTGTTTTGATTTTCTTTGGTTTGCTTCCAAAAACAAAAACTCAAATCTTTTAACAGTGATGTATAACTGCTGTTTTCTTTTGTCTTTTCTTTTCTTTTCTTTTTGCGGCACTGTTGTCAGAAGCGCCGAGTCTCTTCCTGACAATAGTAATTAACTTAATGACATATGAGCACCATAAAATGGCGCGGATATGTCACTTCGTGAATAGAAAGGTGGTTGAACTGAGCGCCGTTACTCTGCATTACATCTGTCTCAAGAGTCTCAGGAATTTCACTAACATTAACACAGTCGGGAAGGGGTGATCGGAAAAGAAATAATTACAACAATTACTTCTTTGACTTTATCTGTGCCTGACATGTACATACACACAGTACACTCACGTATGCACATGCAGAATATAATAACTGTGGTAAGTGAAACACTGCCAACGTTAATTACAGTGTTGCCAGTAAAATAAGTGCAATAAAAGTGGAAAAAGATGGCATAATATATGCTTGTTAAGACACTAAAGAATGCTTTCGCCCTAATGCCAAGTTGTATGCCACACACAAACACACACACACGCACAGAAACACACAACTGGGCAGAAGCTTGTGACAGGTTGGTTTTATTTCTTAAGATTGCAGCATGTATGTAATTCACTATGTAGGCATATTTTCATATACATGTGACAAATGGTTTGAAAAATGAAAAGCAACGTCATCTTTATGATGTCTTTCTCTGCCTGAACACACTATGCTTAAGATAGATTTTTATCACCTACCTGTTTCCAGTATGTGTTGTCCACTCTTTAAGTGTTTATTTCAACACAAAGATGGAAAGCTCCTCTTCTTGATTTGCATTTATGAAGATCTTCTTACGCGCTTTGCTCTTCGTTCTGCGGATCCTCAGCAGTTCTGCCAGGATTTTTCTAGTGAAGACTCTTGACCTGGAGCTGCATTCAAAAGAAATACAAATAAAAAACTGGGGTTAAACACAACTATCATCTCTAACAGCATTTTACAATAAAAAAAACCTCTTATTGCAAAATTCTTTACCTTTTTATAGCCATTTTTACATCACGCTCCTTAACAGGTGAATTAAAAGCAGAGTGCATTGCTGTTACTTCATTAAATTCATTGTGCACTGTCACTACTTCATTAATTTACTAATGATGTTTATTACAATTTATTCATTATGCTAAGTAAAGATGAATGCTGATATGAATCGCAATAAACTGCACAGGATTAAACTAATTGAAATGGCGTTATAAAGAAATATCTTCTGGTAAACTATATCCATCCTTAAAAAGAAAGATTGGAAAAATATACATAAACACTGGATCACTCAGCACTGATGGATTTTAAAATACATTTTAAAAGAAAGGGGTTGGCAACTATGATGATTAGACTTAATGTGAAACTCAAGTGAGACAGATAGAATAAGGTCATCTATCCATCCACCCATTTTCCACCATGTATCTGGGTGTGGTTTGTGATGTCAGCAGACCGCCCTCGACCTGATCACACTAGACCAAGGCTACGTCCACACGTACCCGGGTATTTTTGAAAACGCAGATTTTTCTATGCGTTTGCACCTTTCGTCCACACGTAAACGGCGTTTTTGGTCACTGAAAACAGAGATTTTTAAAAACTCCGCCAGGGTGGATATTTTTGAAAACTCCATCTTTGCATTTAGGTGTGGACGAGAAAAACGCAGAAAACGCAGCCTCAAAGGTGTGCGCATTTTTTGACGTCACACTGTGCGCCACGTTATTGTTTCGGTGAAATGAATTTCTACAATACTGTTACTGTTAATTCTACTCTCTGCAATGTTTAAATGCTTACATATAAACACACAGTTACTGTCCCCCCATACATACCACTCAGTTCTGCTTCTATGCCCCAGCTTTGTTTACTTTTTCCCACCGAGGCTTCTAAACTTCTGATTGGCCAACATTTCTGCACAGTTAGGAATATATATCGCCACCTGTTGCTTTGGCAAGTTCCTAGCAGCGTTTTCCTTCATTTCTGCCTTTACGTGTGGATGGGATTAATTTTTAAAACGAAAACGGAAAATCTCCGTTTTCAAAAATACCCGTGTACGTGTGGACGTAGCCCAAGACAGTGTGTCCTGGGTTTGCCCCGGGCCTCCTCCCATCATGATATGCCGAAAGCACATCACCATTTATAGAAAGTTCATCCACGATCTTATTCTTTTAGTCACTACCCAAACCTGAGGTGGGTGTCCAAGGTGAGGGTAGGAATGCAGACTGACCAGTAAACAAACATCTTCACTTTTATGCTGCACTTTCTATTCACCACAACATACAGTGGGGCAAAAAAGTATTTAGTCAGCCACCGATTGTGCAAGTTCCCCCACTTAAAATGATGACAGAGGTCAGTAATTTGCACCAGAGGTACACTTCAACTGTGAGAGACAGAATATGAAAAAAAAATCCATGAATCCACATGGTAGGATTTGTAAAGAATTTATTCGTAAATCAGGGTGGAAAATAAGTATTTGGTCAATAACAAAAATACAACTCAATACTTTGTAACATAACCTTTGTTGGCAATAACAGAGGTCAAACGTTTACTATAGGTCTTTACCAGGTTTGCACACACAGTAGCTGGTATTTTGGCCCATTCCTCCATGCAGATCTTCTCGAGAGCAGTGATGTTTTGGGGCTGTCGCCGAGCAGACTTTCAACTCCCGCCACAGATTTTCTATGGGGTTGAGGTCTGGAGACTGGCTAGGCCACTCCAGGACTTTCAAATGCTTCTTACGGAGCCACTCCTTTGTTGCCCGGGCGGTGTGTTTTGGATCATTGTCATGTTGGAAGACCCAGCCTCGTTTCATCTTCAAGGTTCTCACTGATGGAAGGAGGTTTTGGCTCAAAATCTCACGATACATGGCCCCATTCATTCTGTCCTTAACACGGATCAGTCGTCCTGTCCCCTTGGCAGAAAAACAGCCCCATAGCATGATGTTTCCACCCCCATGCTTCACAGTAGGTATGGTGTTCTTGGGATGCAAATCAGTATTCTTCTTCCTCCAAACACGACGAGTTGAGTTTATACCAAAAAGTTCTACTTTGGGTTCATCTGACCACATGACATTCTCCCAATCCTCTGCTGTATCATCCATGTGCTCTCTGGCAAACTTCAGACGGGCCTGGACATGCACTGGCTTCAGCAGCGGAACACGTCTGGCACTGCGGGATTTGATTCCCTGCCGTTGTAGTGTGTTACTGATGGTGACCTTTGTTACTTTGGTCCCAGCTCTCTGTAGGTCATTCACCAGGTCCCCCCGTGTGGTTCTGGGATCTTTGCTCACCGTTCTCATGATCATTTTGACCCCACGGGATGAGATCTTGCGTGGAGCCCCAGATCGAGGGAGATTATCAGTGGTCTTGTATGTCTTCCATTTTCTGATGATTGCTCCCACAGTTGATTTTTTCACACCAAGCTGCTTGCCTATTGTAGATTCACTCTTCCCAGTCTGGTGCAGGTCTACAATACTTTTCCTGGTGTCCTTCGAAAGCTCTTTGGTCTTGGCCATGGCGGAGTTTGGAGTCTGACTGTTTGAGGCTGTGGACAGGTGTCTTTTATACAGATGATGAGTTCAAACAGGTGCCATTCATACAGGTAACGAGTGGGGGACAGAAAAGCTTCTTACAGAAGATGTTACAGGTCTGTGAGAGCCAGAGATTTTCCTTGTTTGAGGTGACCAAATACTTATTTTCCACCCTGATTTATGAATAAATTCTTTACAAATCCTACCATGTGAATTCATGGATTTTTTTTTCACATTCTGTCTCTCACAGTTGAAGTGTAGCTCTGGTGCAAATTACTGACCTCTGTCATCATTTTAAATGGGGGAACTTGCACAATCGGTGGCTGACTAAATACTTTTTTGCCCCACTGTATCTCTCAATTTCACTTCTCACTCTGCCCTTACTTGTGAACAAGTTGCATAAACTCCTAAATTTGCAGCAGTAGGGCCCCCATTTTCCAGCTGAAAACCATTTCCTCAGACTTGGAGAGGATAATTCTCATCCCAGTTGATTCACACTAGGTGGAAAAATGAAGCCAACAGAATCACATCTACACATAGCAGAGATGTGTACCTGCTACCCTTGTACATGTACTTGGGCAAACTCCCAAACTCCCTCAAATATCCTTGAGATGATAAAGAACTGGTCCAGTGTTCCACAACCCTCAGGTTTCACTGTTATTGTCCAAGTGCATATAGATGTCCCCTGGCAGGACAATGGCAAGAAGGTGTGGTTGTGTGGTGCTCATTTCGTTGCATAGACTCAAACAACATATAGGACCAGTTCCCAAATCCAAAGGCACATGGAAAAAAAAAATTTAAATTCTGATCGTCCAGGGAAATCCCCAACATACAGAAACAGAGCTAGGGGCAATCCCAGATTGCAGTAGAGTCCAGCCTCTTTCTAGGAGACTTGTTCCAGAACATAAGCCATGTGTTGAAGTGAGCCAGACTATATCTAGCCAGAGAGGTGGCATTCCATATAGCAGGAGCCAGTTTTTACATCCAAGGATTGGAACGCCAGACAGTTGCTCATTTCACATTGCTCAAACCCCTATGACATATGGTGGGCCCATTGGAAGACTATGCACTGCTGAGCACGGCTAAGTCCTAGGCGTCAAGTGCCTGCTCTCAAGCCCCTACCCCAGGTATGAGTCAAGGGTGTGAGCCCTGTTAACCCTGGTAACTTAGTCCCCTAGTCTTGCCGTCTTAGTCTGGCTCTTCACTCATGATAAGTTTGCCTTGGGAGATCTTCCCAGGGGCAAAATGTCATGAACAAAATAGTAGCTCCTGGGATCATTCAAGCACACAAACCCTTCCATCATGAGGCTATGGAAAAAGAGGCCAACAGAGGAGGAATCTATGTCACTGCTCTATCGCACTCTCATTCTTTCACTATTTGTCTTCCTCTCCCTCTTTCTCTCCTATTGACCTTTGCTTACTATTTCAGCTGCTGTGGTTTACTCTAATTAGCATCACCAGGGCAGACAACTGGAGTGACAATAATGATGGCAATAATAGCTGATGGCTACAAGGTGGCAGATGGCTCCATCTGTAAGTATTACTATATATATATAATGAGATGCTACCTATCTTCTGTTTCAGTCACAGTGCAGGACACCTGTCACAACATACCTCCAGTCATCAATACACAACACCTATCTATGAACAATTTGTGCAAATAACTGTCAGAGAAACTGACATACTTCTTTTCCTCTCTCCGAGGCCTCTCTCTTTGCTTCTGTGCCTTTCTTTATCTCTCTCTCCTTCACTCTCTCTCTCTCTCCCTTCGGCACTGTCACCCTTTCCCTGACAAACACAAGCACAGACATCCACACAGACAGTCTAAATCAGTTAGGGAGAGTCTGTGCTAGCTGCCCCACAGTGAGCAGAGCAGGGCATCTCATTTTTAGCAATAATACTCGACTGATCCTGTTTCTCCGTTTCAACTTGAATGGAGAAATATCACCAGATTAGACATGAACATTACTGGGCACAGTAAGTAGGGATGGGCATGAGATAAGGCAGGAGCTCATGCCTCATGAAAATGCATGCATGCTGAGGACAACACATCCTATTAGCTCTCACTCTGCACATGATATACTTGCAAGGGGCATGAGTGCAGTCACAGAGCAACAAACACATAAACACACGGACAACATTTTGACTTTAACAACTGGTGCAAATTTCTGAAGAGCAAGTCAGGAATGATTGAGGACAGAAATTATCATTATTTAATTAACAAGGAATTCCTAAACTATGGTGTGTCAAAGACTTTACAGAAGATAATGAGCTGGACTGGAAAGAAAAAGCTATGTTAATTAAGCAGCTCAGTGATGCAAACCTTTAAACTTAGTTGTATTTTATTGTTAGTTACTCTGTTTGTGTGCAGAGTAT